TGCTCACTACAGACATGCTCACTGACACACATACATGCTCACTACAGTCGTGCTCACTGACACACATACATGCTTACTACAGTCGTGCACACTGACAGACATACATGCTCAGTACAGACATGCTCACTGACACACACATACATGCTCACTACAGACATGCTCACTGACACACACATACATGCTCACTACAGACATGCTTCCTGACACACTTACATGCTTACTACAGACGTGCTCACTGACACACACACACATGCTCACTGCAGACATGCTCACTGACAGACACATGCATGCTACTTACTGCAGACAAGCACACTGACACAAACGTAAATGCTCACTACAGACATGCTCACGGACATACACATACATGCTCACTGACAAACACATACATGCTTACTGCAAACTCACTAAAACACACATTCTCACAACAGCAGGCACACACACACACACAAAATATCACTCTCACTCAGCTGCAGTATATTTGAAGCCTACCTGGAACTGCAGGCTGCTGCAGTGGAAGCCCTGGGAGGTGAGGATTCCATTCCCTGGCCTCTTCCTGCCCTTAGTTTACCAGCTTGTGGCCAGGGGCAGAGCTTGCGACCGGGGCAGAGCTTAAGTGCCAGAAAGCTCCCTCCCTCCAGCTGCCCCATACTCAATGCAACCACACCGGCACCAAACTCATCCCTCCATAATTCCCTCGGACTCTCACAGTCTGAGGGAAAACTTATCAAATTGTATTAGTTATAGGTAATAGGGCTCTATAGTCCCTCCCCGGCCCCAAGTGCTGTGGCCTCCCGGTGGGCCAGTCCGACCCTGAATGAAGCCCTGGCGGTTGTTCCATGCAGCCGGGGCCACACCACAATGCAAGCGAGCACCCCAGTTGCAGGAGCTGACAGGGCGGTCCGGGCCCCCTCGAGTGACGGGCCCGGTAGCAGCTGCAAGCCCTACGACTGCATAGTTCCGCCACTGGCCCCGGGGCATTGCTTTGCCCAGGGGCCTATAATGCTGTTAAGATGGTTGTGATAACCAGTGTGGTCAGTATGACCCTGTATAAGAGATCTCCTGGTTTTGTGGATTGCTTCTAGTATAGGCCGCTTGTTGTCTTTGTCCCAGTGTCATTGCACAAGCACAAGGAATTTTTTGTTCTACCGCAGTTTTTTTGGGTTATGCATTATTCATTACAAGATTGGATTGATGTTTAATATCAGATAACTGACCTACGTGTTTATTCTTCTTAATTCTTTAAAATACTTTTCTTTGGCAGGCTTTGTAAACATATATATATAGTCACATATATTCACAAACAACTAGTACCAAAGTTTTTTTTTTGCAAAAAAAATAAAATAGCTTTGTGTTGGCTAGGTTATTTTTTTATACTTGGAAAAAGACTTGAAAATGTTGCAGAGAATAAAAAAGTCCAGATGTTCATCACATTTGGAAGAGTTCACAAATAATACTGAAAGTCTTTTTTTTTGTTTTTCTGAATGGTCATGTTTCATTTATTCAGAGAAAACAAATGTTATAGGAATTTCTGTTTCTTTAAGAATTTCTTTGCACATACGTTTTCTTTTCGTATTGGTAGGGAATTGGGGACCCCTAGCGACACAAAGGTTAGACATATAACTATTTGGTGAGGAGATCGTGTCATGACTTTTCTGCATGACAACAATAAGTTTAGAGATGTTTAAAGTGTATAAGGAGGACATATATTTTCTGTAAAAGTATTCTCAAATATTATAGTCTCACTGGTTCCCAGTTTAATTGGGTCAAGAATACCTGGTTTGTTAAAGGTTCACCCAACAAGGCCATAGCTCTGGACTTAGAGAAGTGTATGTAAAATCCTGCAATGGTGCCATCAGTGTGAAGAACATGCATCATAGCCAGGACAGGTTTAGTTTTTACATCGACAAAAGCTGTTACTTTAATGGAGTGAGAGAGAACAATATAAACCTTTGATGAGGTTAAAAGAAAGAGATACCAAAGTATCTATATTTTAATACACAAAATAAGTGTGTCCGAGCAATCATATCAAATGCCTTGTGGGCATAAAGACTCAGCATCATAGTTCCCTCAGTAACTGGAAGAGATTTTGCTGCCACTATGGCTGCTATTGCACTACAAATTCCCTATGAAGAATGTCAGCCCCGGACAAAGCCCAGTAGTTGGGGGTGCAAAATTTCTGGTAAGAAAGTTTGAAGTCTAATCACCGCTATCATAGCAAGTATTTTGAAGTCCTGATTCAGAAGGGTAATGGGTCTTTGTGATTCTACCAGAGCAGCATCCTTGTCCGATTTGGGGAGAAGAATAGTCCATGACTACATTATAGATTGAATAGTAGTTCTATATATGTACATTTTATTTAAAAAGGTAGACAAAGATGGGACAAGTTGTCCCTTCAACAGATTGTAATATTCTGTGGTAAAGTCCTCAGGTCCTGAAGGTTTACAATTGGCCTGAAATAGTATGTTTAACTCTTATTTCTGTTATTAAAGGATCACTTTAGGGTCAGGAACACAAGCATGTATTTCTGACCCTATAGTGTTAAAACCACCATCTAGCCCCCCTGGGCCGGATTAAGAGCCCAGTGGGCCTGGTGCTGACAATTATGATGGGGCCTAATAACAGAATCTTATCGACCAAAAACACTAAAACAGTCATACCTCTCAAGCGTCATGTATCTGATAGAGTTGGTGTTGGAGGGAAACTCAAAGGATGCAGCTATAAGAAAACACATACCCTATGCTAATCTCTCTCTAATTTATGCTTTCATCTTTCAAGTAAATCCGATGTGAATCACATGACCAGAACTGCCAAAACGGGCAAACATGTCCAAAGAATTGGAAGGCCAGCCTGGCATCAGTGTCCCTATGCATCACAGTGTCAGTGTCCCCATGTCGCCCAGTCCTCTAGTCTTCCAGTGTCTGTGTCCCCATTTCTCCCAGTGTCTCCGTGGTAGCACAGAGACATGGGGACACTGAGAAACATGGGGACACTGGGAGACATGAGGGCACTTTTGGATACAGACATGGGGACACTGAGAGACATGGATACATGGGGACACAGACATTTGGGGACACTGAGAGAAATGGGGTCACAGACACTAGGGACACAGAGACATGGGGACGCAAACACTGGGAGACATGGGGACAAAGATATCGGGACACAGACACTGGGAGACATGGGATCACTAGGGACACTGGCTGGGAGACATAGGGACACTGGGAGACATGGGGACACAGACACTGGCTGGGAGACATGTGAACACTGGGAGACATGGGGACACAGACATATGGGGACACTGGGAGAGATGGGGACACTGAGACACTAGGGACACTGGGAGCCATGGGGACACTGAGACTCTAGGGACACTGGCTGGTAGGCATGGGGACACTGGGAGACATGGAGACACTGTGTCCCTAGTGTCTCCGTGTTCCAATGTGTCTACTTATATCTCACAGCGTACCCATGTGTCTCAGTGTCCCCATGTCTCACAGTGTCCCCTAGTGTCACCGTGTCCCCTAGAGTCTCAGTGTCCCCATGTGTCTCAGTGTCCCCACTTCTCCCAGTGTCCCCTAGTGTCTCAGTGTCACCATGTGTCCCCTAGTGTCTCAGTGTCCCCACATCTCCCAGTGTCCCCTAGTGTCTCAGTGTCACCATGTGTCCCCTAGTGTCTCAGTGTCCCCATTTGTAGTGCTATTGCACTACAAAGTCCCTCATAACTCACTTCCCTGAGCTGTAGTCTGTCTCTGCAGGCTGGGAGCTGCTGTCTGAACTCTCTGTGCTGTGTAGCTGCTCCCCTGCGTATCAGTGAGTAGAGAGAGGCATGGAGGGATATGCTGTAACTTCCCTGCCTCTCTCCATACACAGTGACCCCTACTGGCCGGTGCTGGTATTGCAGAGTAATCTCCGTTTATACTGAGAAAAAATATTTACATTTGTATTGCCGGTATTACTGCAATACCATCACGGTCTGGCAGCCTCAAATACCGTCTGTGCTGGTAAAATTCCAGCCAGGTGGCAAACCTAAGAGTAGTGTGTGAAAAAAATGGGCCTATTCCATGGGCCTGGAACTGCAGCTCCATCAGCCCCTATCTTAATCCGGCCCTGCCCTCATACCTCCATAAATATAGCAAAATCTTACTGTATTCAAGCCAGAAGCTGTAGATCTGCATGTTGTTTGCCTAAAAAAAAAAAACAAGCAGTCAGCTGACATCATCAGAGGTGGTGGCCTGATCCAATCACAATGCTTCCCCATAGGATTGGCTGAGACTGACAAAGAGGCAGATCAGGGGCAGAGCCAGCATGATTCAAAAACAGCCCTGGCCAATCAGCCTCTCCTCATAGAGATGAATTGAATCAATGAATCTCTATGAGGAAAGTTCAGTGTCTGCATGCAGAGGGAGGAGATACTGAATGTTTGGATGCATTTTAGGCAGCCATGACCCAGGAAGGATCTCTAACAGCCATCTGATGAGTGACCAGTGAAGTTATTACTAGGCTGTAATGTAAACACTGCATTTTCTCTGAAAACACAGTGTTTACAGCAAAAAGCAGTTGTTCTGGTGAATATAGTGTCCCTTTAAGTATGTCTCTTGGGAGTCTTGCGCTTGTGCATTTTTGTTTATGGGTGTTTCGCTATTGTTTCTTTACCACGCCGTTATGTGCATGCTTAGATGAAGGCGGAAACCTTTTGTGTAATTTAGATTAATTTATTTTGTGTTTTTGTTTTGGCGCCATACCTTATTGCCTGCCTCCGATCCTCTTTAATAATTAGAATAATGGGAGAAGTGACCAATAACTAATTCCTTTATTATGCACTGTATATATATGTGTGTAAGATTTTATGAGGTGTTAGCTTGACAAAACCGTTGTTAAGGTCGAAATGTTGCTCCATGCGGTATGATCCAATAAAAAAGCTCTTGATGTGAACCCAGTGAGTGCGTAAAGTTTATTTATGGATATATCAGATGAGAGGGATTTGGTCCTGCTTCAGCTAAGCACCCTGTGACTCTTGGAAACTGACTTCCTTTTATTTATGGAGCGTTTGATATCTTCTGGTTTGAGGACTAGTTTAGGCCAAAAAGATGTTAGAATCTTGGACACAATAGGGGACAATGGTACAGGAGACGTAGGAGTTGAAGCTGCCCATTCCTCAGAGTCCCTAGCTGGAATTAATTAGTAAACCAAATCCATCTGAGGCAGTGGTTGTTGTGTAGATGATTTGGTAGCCTTTAGACTTTTCTGGGAAGATTTATTTGGTTCAACAAACTTTTCCATAGTTCAGTGTAATGCTTGGTTCACCAGCATTAGATATAAGATAATTACAATCCTTAGGAAGACTTATACAGAATCGTCAGGAAATTGAGCCAAGCAGATAGATGAGACCCAGACCAGGAGATAGTACCAATGGATGCCCTCCATTTTAGTTATGTATTACCTTTGGTCAAAGTAAAACAAAACAAAAAAGCATTTGCAGTTCAATGAGGCAGCATTCCTCCTGTTGGCCCCATGGACTCAAAAGGGCATAAGGTATGCATTGTGGCCCCCTGATACAAAATAAACAAACCAAAAGCTATGTCAAACAGTCTCCAATAGGATAAACAATGAACTTTTCAGTCCAGGCCGGCCAACTGACAACTATCAGATAAAAATAAGGTAATGAAAAATGAACTGGGAGTGTAATGCACAACAAAAGAAGATTAATGACTTTAATATGTTTAAATGTGCTCATGATGTGGCTATTTAGCCTACTCACTATGTCCAAGATCTTACAGCTCCAAGATTGTACTATTTAATTTGTCTTCCACTTTGGAATGAGTGTAGGACCCACTGATATTGGGGTACTGTGAAGTAGTGGTGGCCTTAACACAATATTGCCATATTGTTTGTTTGCTGAGATAAGCGATTTTAAGTAGGCTTATAAAATGTAGAAATTTATTTTTATGTGTTAGCTGTTTCTTAATCTGTATTATGAATACATTTTGTTCACTACGGCAGCATCATTTCTTCAGGATGCATATTCTGGGTGTGCCCACAATTCCCTTTTGTCTTTACTATGTAAGTTTGGAATCAAGATTAGCTTCCTCTTTGGTTGAGCACCCCACTTAGCCCCCAGCTTTAGAGGCCCCTTTGGAGGTGACCACTGTTATATATTTGAGGAGGTTTTGGATAGTAATATCACTTTAATTATAATTTCCATTGAGCAGATATATAATTTGCATTGTGAGTATAAACAGCAAAGCTCTATCACTTTAATTGCTTAGTTTTGACACTGTTTTTTTTTCAGTTGCATTTATCACAATTATTTTGCACTATATAGATTCACAATGCTTACAGGTTATATAAATACACTTTAGCTTACATAGCACTAGCACTATTTGATTTTTCTCCTACGTTGGAATTAGTGTAAGACCCACCGACATTGGGTACTGTTACATAGTGGTGGGCTTAACCTCTTTGTGACCGCGGACGTATCATGTACGTCCAACAAAAAACGGTCATTAATGACCTCGTACGTCCCGGGTAAATGCGAGCGCTGGAAGCGATTGCAATCGCTTCCAGTCACTCTAACGGTATTGCAGCAATGCCTCGACATCCTGCAATACCTCTCCAGACTGCCGGGTGATCGCTCCCCAGGAGCGATCACTTCCGGGTTGCCCCACGTGGTACCCGGCAGTGTAGCAGAGCATCGGAAGCCATCGGGCAGGCTTCCGATGCTCTGCCTGTGTGCTAAGTGCCTTAAGGGGTACTAGGTACGTCCGCGATTCTTAATGACCATTTTTTTTCGGATGTACCTAGTACGTCCACGGTCGTTAAGGGGTTAAAGGATGTCTTTGTGCAACTATTCAACTCCTCTTATTTTATGTCTCCCTAATTTACTAATCTTCTCAGTGTCTCATCTCATCTCTACATACTCAACCCCCATCGGTGTCTCTCCACCTGTCCAACCCCCCAAATATGTCTTTCTTCCTGTTAACCAGAATCTGTGTCTCTCTCCTCCTGCTAACCCCCATCTGTGTTTCTCTTCACCTGTTAACACCCATGATCTATGTGTCTCTCCACCCGTTAATCCCCATATGTGTCTCTCTTCACCTGTTAACCCCAAGATCTGTGTCTCTATCCTCCTGGTAACCCCCATGGTCTGTGTCTCTCTCCACCTGCTAACCCCAATGAACTGTCTATCTCCACATGTTCACCCCAATGATCTGTGTTTCTTTCCACATGTTAACCCCAATGATCTGTGCCTCTCTCCACCTGTTAACCCCCACCTGTGTCTCTCCTTGCAGCCTGTCCTCACACTTGTCTCCCCCACCTCTGACTTACCTGTTATGCTGCCTGTCTGCAGACTGGAAGCTACTAGGTGAAGTTGCTGTGCTCAGTGCTGATATTTGTACATGTCCCTCTGGGACCCAAATCTCCACAATTCTCTTTTCTATCTTACTGTCCCTCATTACTAAGAAATTTATGTTTAGTGTATAAAACAGCAATGTGTATTCATACTATATACTCATACTATAATAAGTGTGTTTAGAATGTAGTTGTCTCAATAAAATATACTCTTCTTATTTTAAAATTTCAGTTGAATAAATTGCCATAAAAAACAAGAAGTTATGTATAGGTCTTAAACCCAAGTGTCCTCTTTGACTATTTAATATGTGACTAGTATGTGGACATTGCACATTTAAATGTAGTTGGAGTCCTTTTGAGGAAAAAAACCCTAGCTCTTGATGAATCAATAAATAAAACCACCCATGATCTTTTGTGACACATATTCTTAGGAACAGAATTTTAATTAACCGCATGGCAGACATATTTCTGTACAGATAACCTTAAGAAAAGTTGCATACTGGATATTTGTAAACAGAATCACAAAGAAGCAAAACTTGTGTCAGATGTAAATCTCCAGAGCTTAAGAGTAGAGGTAAAAAAATAAAGTGCCTTTAATTAATGTGCTTTATTAATAATGACTCTCAGCCTTTTGAGCTGAGCCTGGCATGGCTCCATCCCCTTTACTGTACAGCATGTAGAATTATGTTTGTATGATACAAGGCATGGGTTCCTTGCCTCATGTAGTGGGCAGTGTGGCTCTGCTATACCCCCCAACCCCCCTCCCAATACATGATCTTGAATTTTAGGCCGGTCAGATAGAAGTTACCGGATACAGTACAAATATCTTTGTGGGGGGCATCAAGTCATAACTTACCTTCTGAGCCCAAGAAAAAAACCCTGTAAACAGAACTCTACATTCTCTAGCCTGGTAAAGGGGCCATGTAAGTGACCATTCATGAAATGGGATTAAGTACTAAATATTTTGGGAAGGTGGAACAAACTAATGAAACAATGTGATGTACTAGCATGGAAGGTGACAGCCCCCATGGACTGCTGTTTAACATTCCAGGGGTAACTGGACATGTTATCTCCAGGACTTTAATAAGTATTGGTAATCTGGCTGTTTTACTTTCTGTACCACTACATGATTTTCATTTACTCCAGTTTCATGAATGCTTACATGGGTTTTGTGGCCAAGGCTGATCAGAGTGTATGGGGAAATGTTGGAGGTAGTCTGACAATCTGTGTTTTACAGCAGGCCTCCTTTCCTCTGAATGCCCTCAAATGGAATCCTTATTTTTTGTGTGTGTCAATTAAATGGCTAGTTTCTAACTCAGCCACATACCATGGAAGTGACAATCATATATTTATACAATCAACAATCCAAAGGGCCCTGCAGATAGGAGAGAACCTTGGGGACTATTTTATTTACATGGTCCCATCTGATGTACATATTCTGTGAATTCCTATGATTGTCCTCCTACTTGCCGAGCAGTAAGAGACAAGCACAAGAATTCTCAGCTCTGAAGATCCGTTCTGAAGTCTGAGTTAAAATAAAGTACAAGAAATAAAGTCAAATTGCAAAGGTGGCATATACAACAGAGAACTGTTGCAAATCCCAAATAGAGCAGTATGCAACCAGGTGTTAGAGGTGAGTGGGATGGAAAAGGGAAGGGTAGTGAACTTTGGGATGGTGAGCATGGTATTTTTTTGTTTTATTACAGATATGACACATGACAGCCGTATCTTGTAGGAGATGAGGATGGTTGAATTTGAAAGCCATTTGTTTGCATCCTTTGAACATTGGTGTCTTTACACGCATCAAAATAGGGGTTATCTTTGCATATGCTGTAGGCAACTATCTATTTACACCCACAGTCAGAAGAAAGCTGGCCGAGGATAATAACAGTTAGTGTTCTTAAGCAGAGAGCAAAGATTACCTTTTTAAACCTTAAAGAAATCTTCCAACATTCTTTATATTGCTGCAGGAGTCTAAATGATATCTTTAGCTGGGAGACATCGCCATCTTGGGGTCAAACAGAAGATTACAGTGAGAGGTGGAATTACAACATCTTTCTAGGTCTCATTTTAATAAATGGTATTGTTTCTTTAACACATCATACAGCGCATTCATGTAAATTTATCACACGCAGCCCAGAAGTACAAATAACTTGCTCTTAAATAACCCAACTTAAAACAGCTGCAGTTGTCACACAGGAAAGCTTTCCTACAAGATACAATGTGTTTGATCATGAGAAATTAACTTAGGACAGAGCATCCAAGACTCTGAGGGTGAGTGACCTGCATGTGTTTTACAATTTATTTAATGAATGAGACTCTTATAGATAAACAGAATTTTCATTAAAATTCAAAGTCACCTTACTATTATATTTCTTCTTTTTACGAGCTGCCCTTTTAAGTGCTGTTTTCTGGAACTATGCCAGGATGACACTTTGAGTACAACGCACAACTCCCAATAGCCACTCGCTGCTTGTCACAGTAAAAAAATAAAAATAAAGAAAGACATATATACACTGCTAAAACATCAGCTATCATGGAATGTCAAATTCTACTAACCCATTAGAGTTCTTATGTCTTGTTAGTTTATATGAACATTCACTGCTCACATTCTCAGGGCTGCCCATTTTCAGTGTTAGAAAGACATAGCTAGAATGGCAAATTTTAAATATGGGAGAAATATTAGTCTTTCTGAAATAAGAAGATTGGGAAGAAGCAACTCCTTCCAATCCTTAAAGTGCATCCTTCATGTGTATACATCATTTGTCCATTCAGGAGTCCTTTACATTTTTTATTTTTTCAAATTATTAAAGTGCTCATGAGATATTTTTGTACCATTTGTTTAAGCAATGATTGGTTTCTAATTCATTTATAAGGCAAGATATTTTAAGCAACACTTCAGTGATATATGTATCAACTAATTTTGACAAGTGCTCTGACACATTTAAAGTTCCTAAATTTTGCTGTAAATCACAAACTTTGCAAGTCCTGCAGGGAACTCTATGGATGTGTCAAACCTGTTCTATCTCAGCTCAGATCTCAGCTTTCTTTGCAGAGCAAAGGGAAAAAAATGCAACAGACCAACAGTGAAAAGCAGAAAGGATGAGCTTGTAATGCAAAATGATTTATTAGCGTAAGAAAGTAAAAAATTATTAAAACCACCCTGTGCAACTGACTGTAACCTACCTAACATATT